GAGGTTGAAAGATAACTATGTACAATCGAGGATTATAAGTTTCAAGCGGAAACTCTACTTAGATTAGGCGCGGGAGGGAGGGGGTCATCCAGTCATTGCTCTACGTATTTTTGATAGTAAAATTCTTGTAATAATACCATACTGGTTGAAAATATCATAATAATGTTTTATAAATTCATACTGAATGGATATCACAATGTAACAAACACTGCAATACAGTGACAGCTAAGAAGACGTTTATGTGCTTTATATGGAAATATTTCGTTTTTGGATAAAGCTTATATAAAAAAAAACAATGTCCAAATGTTTTAAGTAGAAAGTAATAAATAGTAATTTGAAATGATGGGAAAAATACATCATGCTGGGCAACTGGTGATAAACGTATAATCGAAAGCATGCTTTTGCTTTTATATAGATTAAACAAACGGTTGTAAATGCTAAACGATTTTTTGGCAAATATTTGAGTAACGATGTATCACTGGATAATGGGAAACGTTTTATATTATATTTCAATATAATAGTTAATATAACTTATTAGAGTGGACTAGTTAAATAAATTCTTTTTTCGTAGCAGCGGATGATAGGATTACTTTTTTGAATTTGAATAAAGTCGCCTATCCACATTATTATTGAATTTATCATAAAGTGATATGATTATCATACATACCTATTTGTGATTTTAATAATAATAATAATTAATTTCACTTTGGTCGTCTATAATTATTCTCGGATGTAAATTGCAACATTCTTCTTTAGTAATGTCACCATTTTTATTTTGTATTTGTCGCATAAGCGTGATTGCTCCTTTAATCAAGTGTGGTTCACTCATACTTGGAAAGATGGTTGTAGTTGATTGTTTATTTATCGTGTACTGAGAATTGTTGAAACAATTGCTTCGACTAGTATTTAAATGGTTTTTAGGCCTGCATCCGCACTAATCAAACATGTGGTGGATGCAAATAAACTTTTTACTTTACATTGTTATTGACAGAATTGACCACTCAATGATTATTATACCCATCAATAGGCAATGTCAGTTTGGTTTGATTGGTTTGATCTATACATATACACGTTTATAGGCACTGCATGACAGTGACAACATATATGTCTTCATAATGTCGTTTGCTTGTTGAACCTCGTAAATACATAATGTTCAGGACTAACCACAAAGTCGACTTTTGACACATTTCACACCATAAACTGAAAATTACAAATATGCAAAAGATTGCACTAACATTTTGACGGATAACATTAGGACGAATAATTAAAAGGTTTAGAAGGTTCCAGTCGAATTTACGTTATTTGCCATGTCTATCGTACTTTCATTGTATGGATATTAGAAATGAAAACAAAAATGGTGAAATCAATTCTTCATATCTCAAAAGAGTGCTCGTTGCAAGGAATGAAATAATGAAATGAAATAAATGAATACTAATACTGTAAATTCAGTCAGATTTTAGGGTGGTATTATTTTCCCATTATATAAAATATTGCATTACAAATATGTGCAGTAATATGCCCAGTAGAGTTTTTATAGATTTTGTCTTATAATAGCTTTTGCAACGGAAAGATGTCCATGTGTTTCTTTATATACAGTAATTAGACTGAGCTGTGTTCAGCTGTTCTGAAAAAAAACTCTGGTGTGTAACATTTAAGACTCTATTTTTTGTAAATAATCTGCGACGAAACAATGTAATATCACGTGTCATTACAACGCGGTACGATTGTGTATGCAAATAAGATGTGTCATGTTTATTAAAAACATTAATTCTTATTCGAGACGCAAACAAATTAAAAAAAAATAAAAAAACAAAAAGCTTGTGAGAATTATTCGATAAATGGTTTCAACAAATAAAAGGTGTTCTACAATTTGTCTGTCAGTTTAATGTTTGGTACTTTGAAATGTGTTATTGAAAAAATGCTAAGAAAAAATAAAGAATATCAATATTAAAATATTCTTTGGATTATATTGCTTAGAAAAATAAAATGTGAACAAAAAAACACGCTTCTGACGTGGGAGTGTGATATCGATTAAAATAGTATTTAGTAAATTTATTGCTGGATAATAAATGAATGAAGTGCACCTGTTAATGGTAAAAGTTGTTGAATGTACAACAATCGCTATCTTCTTGTCAATCAATGACAGTAGAACTCCACCATGTAATAACGTGAATAATACGTCTAGAAATTTTGAAGGCGGTAAATACGTAAAATACATGCTACATATATCATTTTCTATGATTAAAAAGATAACAAATT